TTTTCTGTAAAAGCACCTTACCACACTAAAACCCTTTGTAAAAGCAAAGTCTATGTCTCAAATGAAAATTTAAACTACCAAATCATCAACATAACAAGTGGGAGTCTTTATCACTTTTTACCACACACCAGCTCTTTAGACCTACCAGTGCTGGTACACACAAGTATTAAGTTCATAGAGAGCAACTAGAGAGATGTGTATACAGATATATCACAAAAAACTTAAATAGAATTGAGACTCCATGCTTTGCAGTGGGATAACCTGGCTCCAAGAGGTATCATAGTCTGGTATACACAAAGTGGCGCTATAGCGGAGGTCCCACTCCACCACCACATGTCTAGTATGGATTTAGGCAAGATATTTTTAATCTGTGCTTATTTTCTCTGAAGTAAAATGGGGCTTCTAACATTTTCTAAAAAATATCTAATATGCAGGATGGATATTCTTCACATTTATGACTTTTTGGGAATCCTTCTGACAGGATAAGCTCCCTTAGCAACTTCTGCATCAAGCATGCAGCTTCTGACGGAATCACGGGATTCAAGCGATAGTGAATTTAGCATGTCCCTAGATCAGTTTTTCCAACGTTTAAATACAAACACCGAGCCTTATTTTAGCCTATATTTGTCTAAATCCAATCCATTCTACAATATTAAAATTCTATTTCTTACTAAACAAATAATCTTTGCATGGAATATTGATCATCATAATCTAGTCATTCTAAAACCTTCAATATTTAATTTAATAATACACCTGCTCCAAAACAATTTCTACTTTGGAAGTGCAATATAGAAAGACTGAGCCTCTTTGAGCTCTGAATGTGAGACAGGGCACCTTTCAAAATTCACATTATCCCTTTCAGTTCCTTAGTCTCATTTGGGACATGCACTTTGGGCACATTGATTTCCAGATGGAAACAGTCTTTGCTCTTATCTATCTAGATAGAATTATTTTTTAATCTGTCCAAGGCCTTTAAATAAAAGATACCAAGTCACTTTTGCTTACTGCTGAAGAAACACAAAGGGTATTAGGGTTATCAGGAGAGTAATCTCCATTTCATTGATTTAATTTCCATATTTTAAATTTCTATTTCTTAAGCCCTGATTGCTCATGACCCTTCTAGGTAAAAGTTTTCACCCTGATGGATTTATGGTTTATTCCTGCTAGATCCCAGATTGTGTTCTCACCATTTCACTTCTCTGAATAAAATTCCCATTGACTTTTGATTCGCTCTTCTCTTCATTCCTTTATCCCGCCTTGTCTTCCCCACCACTCTCACATCCCATCTGCTCTCTTCAGCACTGCCAACATCTCCCAAATGACGCCAGTCTAGCTAGGATTGCAATGCTAAAAAAGTCTCCATCTCTGGAAAATATAACTCCTACCTATACAAATAACTAATTATCTGCTTTCCCTCTTTGTCTACATGCTGAGGAAGAAAGCAACCAACCAGACCGTGGTAGGAGTCAGACAGATTTCTCTCTCACTGAACTTCTGCCCAGTACTTTTTTTTTCACAGAAGAAATATGGATATTGGATATCACAGAGGCCTTATTTCAGCTGTCTTATTTTACCTTTAAAATCACGGAATCATAGAATCAGCTACGTTGGAAAAGACCTTTAAGTCCAACCATTTAAGCTCATTATGTCAGGAAAGGGAGGCCAAGATAACCAACAATTCTAGGGAGTTCAGTACTAAAACGAAATAACTTACAACATGGCTGCTTTTAAAAGGAGAAAAGAAAAAACATCTGTCAACTGTAAGTTGACCAACATCTGATGAAGGAAGCACTGATTTCTCTCTGTCATAGAAACCACATGCCTGCTGCTGGATAAAGCAACTGTCTTTGTAGGTCAAGGCACATGAAAGAATTGTCAGATTACCTGTTGTAACTGTTCAGATGTGTTCTCTTTTCCTATAGAAAAGGATACCACTGCATGAAGGAGAGCACATTTGATGCTAACTGCCTTTAATGTAGCCAGGGATGGAGAAAGCACCTTATTTTATGGAAGAGAGTATTCTACAGGGTGTAATTCAGTGGTCACAGTCCTCTGAAACAAAGGACACTGTGATTTTTTTTCTCCAGATACACTTTTTTTTGGGGCCTATGTCTTTGCAGTTAAGACAAATCCCCGAGGATAGAAGCACTGTAACAATGCCAGTATCTGGCTGATAGCAAAAGCCAAAGGCTACTTCAGGATTTCAGTTTTCCTTAAAAATGTATGAAGGAGTTAGCAGCCTCAGTTGGGGAGTCATAAAATGTAACTCTCTGATATGAAATGGCTTATGGTGCCCAACAAGAACTGTTTGTACTTCATGACAGAGATGTAGCTTAAATTGTACCCTCTCCATGGATTTTTTTCCCCAACTGGATGTAATTATAAGGTTTCCTTTTCCACTAATCTGGGAAACCTTTTTTGAAGGGCAGGGTTAAGATTCCTTCTTTCATACTTTTTCTTAAAAAATATGAGTGAGGCAGGGAAATGGCAGTGCCCCCTTTTAAAGGAAGAAATACAAACAGATGAGGATGTAAAAAATACTACTGATATACTAAATCTGTCAGTTTTCTCAGGCAAAAGAAGAAAAACATGAAGGTTTTCATGAAAATACAGAGCATGATGCACTATCTTGCCAAGAAAAAATTATTGTTGTTAGCCCATCTTACTGAACAAGCTGGGAATAAGTGGAAAGAATAAATGCAACTTCAGCCAATTGCTTTATTAGCAAGCAGAATATGATCCTAATATTTCAAATTGACAAAAAGAAGAAAAAGAAAAAAAAGCCAAGATAAATGTACAGGGCAAGCTATTCTAGAGGGAGCAATGGAAAGTGTGACTCTTAAAACCTTAAAGGATGTTTCTGAGATTTCTGCAGTGGCATATAGATATGTTAGGTGGAACAGATTTCAGTGAAGACTATAAGATTTTTAAGCTAAAAGAGAGAACTGTTCATAAACAACTCAACAGGCTGTGTAACACAGCTTGTGCATCAGCACAACTTATCATACCAGTAATTAGAGGCACACAATTGCATCTAAATCTAAAGATCAGCTGCAAGGGCAGACAATTCAATGTTCCTGCTACTGCTAAGAAAAGCTTGATATCTAATGCGGGAACCACGCTGCAAATGAAGGAATCCAGAAGTACATATGTTCATTTCCATGGAAATGCTTTGCATTTGCATGCTGCTTCAAAGCTTACTGGCCTAAGGATTCTTCTTGAAACTGCTTATGAAACGGCAACACTTAAGTCATCCAGAGAGGATGCTGCACTTCAGGGCACATCATGTGAAGTTATTCAGGAGAAGATGACTTCTAGTACCTTGTGCTCATCAGACCTCCAGATTTTCAGAGTGTTTTCTAAAAATCAGGCCCAAGAAGTACTCAGGTTGAGCTTACCATGTTCCCATAACCAAAGTGTCTCTGTGCTTCTAACAGCCCTGTTCTGTGGGGAAGAGTTATCTCAGCTCCCATCTACAACTGCTGGGAAAACAAGGTGCTGATAAGAAGTGTGCCTTGCCCAAGACACAGGTAAAAGCCAGGCAAGGAAAGGATTGAAGTCTAACACACCCCTGCACCCCTCCTGAAGCTAAACTAATTGCCCTGAATTCCTTTATATTCTGTGCCTTTTTAAATGATTTCTGAATTTCTTTATGCCAGTCTCCAAAGATGTAATCTGATTACAGAGTTTCTGTTCAAACTTTCTTGCGATAACTGCAGTGAAGCCTTGATATCATTGTTTAAATTTATCCATCTGAAAGCTTCAGCTAAATGTTATTATCCTGACAAGAGTTTTTCTAGATGGAGTTGATGAAATTAACTGAAGAAAAAAGACACAAATGAAGATTTTAATCAAGATTAATACCTGCTTTGTTAAGGATTGACAAAGCGTATGAACATAATGATGTTGTCATCTATTAAATCTTTTGATCTTAAAAAAAGAACCAAGGCTTTGGCCCTGCCTCTGTTTTGATGAGTGTGAGAGGGCTTTAATTTGGTTGGGTAAGCAGAGTGTTTCTCAACATTTCTGCCCAAAGACGAGAGATAAAAATCTGCCAGCAGAATCCTTGCATACCCTGCAGACATCCTGCAGACACCAGCATTTGCATTTAGGGTCTGTGTTGCTGGGATAAGTTGAGTCCCTCAGCAGATGCTTATTAATAGAAGATAGGGGGAAAGTCTGTGTCCTCCAGTCAGGGTCCAGTGTCAAGGAGGGGCAACTATTAAAACAAGATCTTAAAGTACAATCTACATGTCTCTCTAGACCATTTTCATCCCTCATAACTGATAAATAAATTCAGTGATCCTTCCCTGAGCTTGAATCTGGCAATTCCCTCCTAGCACTATCTTCTCATTGAGAATGGTGTCTTCTTTATTCATGCATTTTCCCTACAGCATCTTGCCACTTCCCCTATTCCAACATCCAAGCGTCATCTGAAAAGCCATGGTCATCCCATACACAGCAGGGGATCAGGGAAAGAATCTGAGGATTGAAACAAAGCAAAGAACTGAGAAGAAAAGGCTCAGACACAAAGGGAGAACTGAGAATGTTTTGGAAGGTTGTTGATTTTGCTTTCCAAACACACCAAGTTGCTGACTTGAAAACGTCAACACAAACTCTTCCTATACTGCAGCCTTTAAGCTCTCTGACTCCCAGTTAAAGAACAGACATACCGCCCTGCGCTGACAAACAGCTAATGGGAGGCACTTTGGCAGAGAAAAATGGAAAGGAGCAGCTGAGGTCAGATGTGTAACAGCTTGTATTTAGTTTATGTGGCAAGGTTTTGGTACTTAGGGGACTGGGGGGGTGGCTTCTGTGAGGAGGTGCCAGAAGCTACCCCCATGTGAGATGGAGCCTGTTGTAAGACAGATCTGCCTCTGACCAAAGCTGAGCCCATCAGTGATGTCAGTAGTGTCTCTGTGATAACATATTTAAGAAAGGGTAAAAAACAGCTGCACAACAGCAGCTGGAACAGAGGAATAAGGATATGAAAAACAAGTATGCAGACACCAAGGTGAGTGAAGAGGCTATGGCTGGAGAAAGACTCTTTCCTGACAGCTGACCTGTTTTACTGAGTTTTGGATTCATTTATCTTATCCCTTCTTCCTCAGATGTTTTCACCCCTTTTGTGATATCAACCCAGCCATGGTGTAGCCATGCAGTGCAGGCACGAAAACCCTTGGAAAGAAAACAGAGGAAGGGGAACAGGACTGACTGAGTAGCTGGCAACAAGACTATTCACAATGAGCTATAAATGTTTCTGAGGGTGACGAGGAAGGACTGAGATCTTCAATCTTTTTCTGCTTATCCCTCACAACCATGTGAATTACTGAGCAGAAATTGCATTCAGGTCACAGCGAGACAGTGAATTGAATTTGTGGAATTTAAAAGCATATTGAGCCTCTCTGCAGCACTGCAGGTCTTTGCTTTTTGTAGGTTTGCAGAGGAACTCAGCACTAAAGTAGTTAACCCCAAGTAAGTCGGAAAGCATTACATGCACACGAACACAAGTCACTGCATGCCACTCTGTCCCAGGGTTTACGAAGTAAGCATCAACACTACTTTTAATCTTCAAAAAGAAACTTTTTGCCAGTCCCCACCGTTAATGGACATGCTTTATCTTCTACAGCATTTTTGAGCGATGGCTAAGAAGACACAGGCCCATGCTAGAAGTTTACCCAGCAGCCAACGCACCCATTGGACACAATCGAGAAAACTACATGGTTCCCTTTATCCCCCTTTACAGAAATGGAGAATTTTTTAAACCTTCAAGAGAGCTGGGGTATGACTATGAGTATCTGCAAGAACCAGGTAATGTTACTGGTTAGGTAAATGTCAAATTTTTTGCCTATAACCTTGAATATGTCTGTAAAATGAGAAGATATTAAAAAATCCTTCTATGCCAGTTTTTTCCTGAATAAAGGCCCAAATTGTACCTCCTTATTTTCACATTTCTGGTCTGATGTAGAGTCAACCTGATGCCATTAGAAAAGTTTCAACTAAAAATCAGTCACTGATACCAATGCTATTTATCCTAGCTTATTGAGAGCAGAATCTGGTCCAAATGGTCAGCTTGTTATCAGAACTGGGGGGCCGAACGTGCCCTTAAATCCCCATAGGAAAATACACCATGGCATCAAAGGCCAACACTAAGTCTGTGCAGCACTTAAAACCATGATCCATTGACTTTGTGCTTGCTCTATGGTTATTTATATGAACACAATTTAATCAATCATAATGCTAATTCCATTTAATCAAAATGAATTTTGCACTGCTATTCAGAGGTAGTTTTGACCTGGACATCTTGTCCATCTTCAGGCACAGAGAGGACAGAGGCCCTTGGGGCTGTAGTTGATGGGGAACCTCAGGTAAAACAAGTCTCATGCTCATAGTAGTGGACCTCATAGTTTCTCTTGAGTAGTACCAGTTTCTTTATTGTTTAAGGGAAGGGTTAAATTCTGTTAAAGATAAAATGTTGCCTGGAACTGAGGATTGCTCAGATACTTTGGCACAACCCTTTATAAAACTGTGCCATTGGAATGATCAGACATGTCTGTTATGTTAAACACTGCCAAAAGCTATCCTGGATGTGGGATGCAGTTATCCTTGCAAAGCAGTGGCCAGTGAAGATCTAGGTTACTGGGCATGTTTGGTTTTCTGTTTGAGGCAGACACATTCTGTGAGCATGTCTCTTCAGTTAAAAGTCAATGAACAGCTGAAAGTCCAATTGCTATATAGCAAAAGCATCAGGGACATTTGAGCAGTGCTAGAATTCTCATAGCTTCCTTCTTGTCTTTATCAAAACAGCATCAGTTCTCAGGGCATCCCTGCTTTTCTGACAGTTTGCATAGAATGGGGGTGTATGCTTTCTTCATGCTTGATAAACAGTCCAATCATGCATTTAGCTTGTTCCTTCACTTCTCATGCAAAATCTAGTGTGTGATTGAGTCACCCAGAAAACACATTTTTTGCTATTTTATGTGCAACGAAAGGAATCTGCAGCTCTCCAGTACAATTGTCTAAGGCTGGGTTAGCTGGTTTAATACTATAACCCAGAGACAGATTATGCCACAAACAATTTGGCCAACCCCAGACAGAAAATAATCTAATAGATGCTTCAAATATAGTCTTAAAATTATTTGTTTAGTCTTATCAGTAGCATTTTTGCCTGTTTGTTCATGTTGCCATAATTTAATTCCCAATCAAGACCAGTAATATTTATACATATTTCTAATGAAAGCAATTAGTTTCCTAAACTCACATTATTCCTAGAATTGTACCGCTCAGAAGAAGTGCCAAATACCATGACTTTCAGAAATACTGAGTCTGGAACAGTTACTGCAAAAGGAAGCAAATGGTAAAATATTTACCATTTAATAATTCCCTTCTGTTTCTTTCTGGTCTCCTCCCTTTTCCCACGGGAGAACACAGTCCTCAGAAAATTGAATTCTTATTAAATTCTGCCCGTGTTTTTAGCACAAAGGTAAGGAAATAGTTCCTTCATTATTTTGAAAGAACAACACAAAGAGTGAAATTCAACCTAATTTAGAAAGCCCAGATAATCCTCAGATATTGTTCAACCCCTTGTTAATTTCACTGAGAAGAACAGAGTTTAAGCTATGTCTTATTTGAAGGGAAGACCTAGTTACAAATGGGAAATGGCAGGAATCTCAAAATGCAGATATGCAGATATGTATTTTCTCAGTGCTCTAGTGTTTACTCCCAGACTTTTTTCCAAGTACGAATGCTGGATTCCTGTTCAGAGGAACAGAGGAGGAAGCATGAAATTCTTGGTGGAGGATCTGAAGCAGGAAAGCACGTTGACCCTCCCTGAAAGCTTCTGTGTAGTCAAGGGAGAAAAGGAAGTCTGTGACTGGCAGCCAGGAGTTACCAGACAAATAGATCTGGGTGGTCAAGAATAGGCAGCATTTCATATTCCAAATGAGGGGGAAGAGGAAACACAGAGGAAGAGGACAGGACAGAGTGAGGAAGGAGCACACAAGACCTGGCTCCATCCTGTTCTCAAGACCAGGCTTGTTTGCTGTTAAAAGAAAGCAGCTAACGTCTTGGTAGAGGTGAAGCAGGACTACACAGAGCACAGTGAGGCTGACTGCAAGAAATAAAACTTGGAAAGAATCCAATGACAAAATAGCATTTTAATGCTAAATTATATTGTTGCCGTGCCCCTGAAGAAAAGCTGATGCCTGGAGCCCTGTTTTCCACTGAAAAGCAAATCACTGCATGACAGTATGCTATTTTAATTGCAGCTTAATTTATTTTTATGCATACAGCAGCCCTGAAGCAGAAGTGGTCACAGTGTGTGTGGAAATCCATCCCTTAGGAATCAAAGGCACATGTCAGAGCCTACTTACTGGGGTGCTCATCTGAGCAGAAACCAGAGCAGACACCAGCTTTCCTTGACATGAGAACGGTGAGCTGTAAAACTACCACAGCTGGCATGGCTTACTGAAAAAGAACATTTGTTAGTATCAATAAAATGATTTGGAAGACTAACGGCACCACCTAGCAATAAGCCATCAAAAGAGTTTTCTATGATAAGAGCTTTTCCAAGTACTTATATTTCACATCTTGGGCTAGGACTTCCCTATTTTCTCTTTCTTCTAGAAATAGTAACAGATAAATTTGCAGAAACATCCTTGACTTTCGCCCAGAAAATCTCCCTCTCTCCATGGGAATAATTTGATGACCACTACCTGTGTAGCTGGTTGAAAGCAGGCAGATACCCAATTATAAACCCAGGAATCTAACCATCAGTGGCAATTTTTGGAAACCTTAACTAAGGAACTTTGAAACTCAGGGCAAAGCATGGGATGAGAGCATTTGTTTACAATATAGACTTCCAGGTTGCTCATGCATGTGTTGTAGGAGGAGAGCTGAGATCCAGAATCAGACTGCAGCTCATTTCTATTTCTGGCTTTTCAGCAGTTTGGTTGCAAAATCACATCCCAGAGAGTAAAAAATGTGGCAGCTGGCAAATACAATACCACCATATTTGTGCTGAGTCTCTCAGCTCAGGAGCTCACACTGTTGGCCACAGCGTGAAAGGGTGATGTTATGTGTGTGAGAGCCTATGATAAAACAGTGACATGCACAATAAAATGTAGGTGCCAGGACAATCACAGGCAATTAAAGGTGACAGTACTTGAAAAATGCTGGCTTGGGAAGCTGTTTACATTTCTGAAGTAAATAGAAGATGAGAAGAGAGCATTTTGTCCTGAGGTTCTCTTCAGGCAGAGATAAGGGGGTGTAGATTAAGGTTAATTAAAACAGAAGGAGAGAACCAAAGAAACCAGGATGCAAAAATATATCCCCAGAAAAAGGAATATGAGCAGATATTTTGGTGGTTGTATAATGATGCTTAATGGAGGAACAGGAATATGGATTTTAAAACTGTTTGTTTTTTGTTTTGTTTTGTTTTTTTCTTTTTTCTGGGAGCTATTTAGAGGTAGGAGACACACATTGCTTCACCTTAAAATTACACAGCTGTGCTTTCCTACCCTCTCACTGAATTCCAGGAACCCACATAAACTAGACTGCTTGGAATTTTTAAATTATATTTAAAACCCCCCAATTTGATGTATTGAGTAAGAAATTATTTGTTGCTGTTACCTAGAGTTAGCACTGTCTTTGAGAAGAGTATGTATGTCAAGAGTTGACTGCTAAGACCACGGCTGAGGTTAATCACTTCTATTTTCCTATCAGAAAGAGCAAGATAAGGAGATATTGCTAGTGTTAATCACAAATGGTAGGGTAGATGTCAAGCACCATCCTAACCTGGCTTCCTCTTGCTTTGTCATGAACCTATTGAGGAAAAGGGCAGTTTTAATTGATGTTCATGGCAGCTTCCAAAGAGGATTGCCATTGGACTCCAAACAGTGATATCAAAGGAAGGGAACTGGCATTGGCTAATGTATCCCACAAAGCAGCTATGATTTCCCATGACCACACCACTCCCTTGACACTTTTCCCAGGTTGCCATCACCAAACACAGTTGCTGCACTCTTGGGTCTTGCACAAATAGAGATTAAAGTATTATGGTCACAGAATACTTGAAATCCCAGTTTGTGTGATTTTGGCTGGGCAGACAGTCCAGTCATAGGTTTACTTTTGTGTAGAATCACAGATTAACAGATTATGGAGTGTCCTGGGGTGTTCTGTCCTCTGACACCCAAGAGTTGCCACGGCAACTTTGTGACAATGATGCTAAGCACCTTTTGTGTAGCAAAGAGAAATAGGCAGTAGATGCCAGGAGGTGGCTTTTGCCTTTGAGCTAATTACAGAAACTGCAGTCTGAGGCTAAAAGCAAGAGAAGGGCATGTTTGACTGATTATCAGGATATAATAAAATAGATTAATCCCTTCTGTGGTATCTCATCATCTCAAAATCATGTTATGTTTTACCAGGAAGAAGTTACCTCAGACTTCCAAATAACATTGATGGAGGAGAGAGATGGTTCAGGAACAAAGTATAAGATATCATTTAGAAAACCCCCATGTCCCAGACAAATTCTGCAAAGACAAGGACTTAGTGATAATTCTCTTTTTGCTAAGCATGAAAATATCATCAAGTTCCTGCTGTGTATACATTTTCTTTTATCATATACGCACTCCAGTTTAAATAGCCAGGTTGTTTCTTATTTAGACGTTTGCAATACAAAAGAGTTAAAAAAATTGGAGTTACAAAGTCAAGCACACAAAGTTAAGAAATGCTACCATTAAAGTTGTCTATATAGCTGTAATTCACCATCCACCTCTACATGTCTGCATTATCTTTAATTGCACACTATTTTTTCCCCAGATCCCTACCTCATTCACAACACAGCATAGGCAGGATTCTGTGAGAAACACAAGTCCAATCCTTTTTTCTTTTGACTTCCATTTTCTCACTTAAGCAGTGTGTAGCTTAATGTATGATTTATTGCACGCTTTTAAAATGCTATCCTGAAGATGTTTCCTCTAACACTTTCCTTTGGCACCAACCACTATTGCAGCGACTCCCAAAGAAATATTAATTTACATTCACAATACAAAAGATTCAGTGAACTGTACTTTCCTCATTTGACAGATGAGAAATGAAGGACTGAAGAGATAATGTACCTCATACCCAGAGGTTTATGCAGTTCACTCAGAAGCATCAAGATCCTAATTTTTTTTGTAATTCTTAGTTTTATATAGTATTTATATGTCTAATGAGGTGAGAAGTAGAAGGTTTAACATACAGACTCTTGCAATTACAACTTCAGAATACAAAGTTGGATTAACTGGAACTCAAGGACCAGAGAAATAGTATCAAAACATTCCCCAAAGTGCAGTTGAGTTGTAGGAACAAACAAACTATATTCAGCCTAAACTCAGCCTAAATTGGAATTACATCTCAGAAAGTGATTCAGACGTCAAGTGCTAAGGATAGCTTAACCTTACAGGTGCTGCAAACCAACAGCATCTTTTCAGAGCACAGTGCACATAACAGCATATGCTCAGAAACACCATGATCCAAGAATTTATACAGGATTACTTTTCTGAGCATCAGTGAAAACGCAGGATGGCAGGAAGGCATTTAAAGCTTTTGTGGGTATATACCACATGAAATATGGTTGAGCACATTTAAACCAGTCCAGGTGCATGAATACTATTCAAGAATAAACCACCATAGGTGGTCCCAGAGAAGTTGCCCAGAGAGGTGGGGTTTTGGTGGTTTTTTCCCCTTAATAGCTAATAATTACAGCTAATAATAGTAATTAAAGCTATTAATTGGGAGATGTAGATTCCAAATCCTTCTTAGCCCAAGGGCACGGGTATTCTCATTCTCAAATTCAGTACAACAGGTTGAGTGTATTGTGAACAGGTCACATTCCAACTGCTATCAGGAAGTGAGAGACCTGTTTGGCATGGTTTGGTTTTTATAACTCATTAAGCCATAGTGAGAAAACCAGAGAGACAGACACACAAATTAATACCACAAGGCAAGAAGGCAGCTGGTTCTCTAACCAGTGAGAAGCTACCCTGGATTCACCAAAGAAAGAGGATGTCTTGTGCAGAGTGACCAGAGAATAATTGTCTGCTGCCTCTTCCCACACAAGATCTATCGAATTAAACAAGCAGGAGGCAGGTTCAAAATTAGTGAAAGGAAGCACTTTTTTCCCCACTTGACATGTATTTAAGTCAGGGATTTCCTTGCTGCAAGAAGTTGTGAAAAAAGTTCAAAGAAGAGCTAGAAAAAGCTGATGAAAGGGTGAAAAAGAATCCCCCAATGGCTATTATATACAATGACACTACAACTGGTTCAGGAAATCCCTGAGCTGCAAATTATTAGAGGCTGGGTAAGTATTGTGTGAAAGGACTGTAATAGGCTTGACCCATTCTTAAACTCTTCCTGGTGCTCTGCTTCAGTTATTGCTGTCAACAGGATGCTGAGCTAGCAGGACCTTTGGCCATATGGTATCAAACTTCTTGGGTTATAGTCTTACAGTTCTGAAAAAACCATAAAGAGCACTGGGGAGCACTGGGGACAGTGAACTCTGTTCCTGCCTTTTATACGAAGATTGAAAAACAGACTATAAGGACTGAAGAGATTTGCTGAAAAGTATTTGTGACCTTCAGACAGTTTCTATCAGTGTAGTCTCTTCTTTTGATCACTGTTACCTGTTACACAACTGCTTTAAACTGCCAGCACATTGCACCATGTAAAAGGACCTTTCTTCTTTCTTTTTTTCTGTTTTCTTTCCAGCACTTGGTTCTTTCCAGGAGTTTTTAATACCCTACCTTGAGCAAGCCCGTCAGATCTGGGCTTGGCTAGTCGGAGCAGCAGTGATTGGAGGCATCATTACTGCTGTGCTCACAGGGCTCATCCTGGCCTGCCGGAAGAAGAGAAGAGGAACTTCTGAAGAGATACAGCCCTTGCTCACAGAAAGTGAAGATTACAACAATGTGTCATATCAGTCCAATTTCTAGAGGCCTCCGGTAACTCAGTGATGTTACTAAGGTGCTAATCAAGCATGCAGTGTTTGATTCATGTTTACAAATACCTTGTTGAGGTGTGCTGCATAAAGCAGGATGAACAGTCTTGCTCCTCAAGGCCCTTGTAACCTTCATGTTGTAGTATCTTATCAGATCCACTCCCACAAACATTTCCCAAATTCAACGTGAGTTACCACGCCACCTAAAGAACACCATGTATCTCCTCCTCTTGATTAAATAATGTTCCTATGAAACCAGTCCGGTTCATGTGTTGCTGGCTTTAATATTTAATTCTCTGCTTACTTTTAGTTGCTCTTTCAAAAGCTATAGGATCCAATCCATGTGTTTGGTGTTCGGATTTAGTGAGATGTCTGACTGCACTATCACTGCTACATTCCCTCTGTGTTTGAATGTAAGAGCAGGAACAGCCCTTTATTTTAGTGAGCAAAATATGTGGTGTTTCTGAGCAGAGCGAATGATCCATAGACACATTTTTCTACTAGGATAGAAATATTTTCCCTCCAGCTCCTGCAATGTCCTGTTTGCCTTTGATTAAATGCCAGCAGCCACAGAAAGCAGGCTCGCAGAAACCACTTCTCACTTGTCTCAAATGCTGCAGTTAGTCATCTTATATACCAGCTTGTATTCACTGGGAGCTGAGAGGTTTAGGAGATGAAACCTGGTCTCACTGTGTCCACCTCTGTTCAGTCTGACTTAACAATCATTTCTATTATGGTTGACTTCAGGTTGCTCACTATGTATATATTCCATACAGGTAACCCATATATAACAAAACAAGCTGTGGTGGGTTGACCCTGGCTGGGTGCCCACCAAAGCAGCTCTATCACATCCCTCCTCATCTGGACAGGGGAGAGAAAATTCAACAAAAGGCTAGTCAGTTGAGACAATGACAGGGAGATCACTCAGCAACTACTGTCACAGGCAAAACAGACTCGACTTTGGGAAATTAATTAATTTATGGCCAGTCAAAAGTCAGAATAGAATAATGAGAAATAAAATCTTAAAACACCTCTTTCCAACCCCTCCCTTCTTTCCAGTCTCAACTTCCCTCCCAGTTTCTTTACCTCCTCCCCATGAGTAGTGCAGGAGGACAGGATGGGGGTCAGTTCCTTGCATGTTGTTCTGCCACTCCTTCTTCCTCAGAAGACAACTCCTCACACTTTTCCCCTGCTGCAGCATGGAGTGCCTCTCATGGGAGACCATCCTCCATGAACTTCTCCAATGTGAGTCTTTCCCATAGCCTGCAGTTCTTCATGAAGTGCTCCAGCATGGCTCCCTTCCATGGGGTACAGGTGGATATCTGCTCCACCATGGACCTCCATGGGCTGCAAGACCACAGCCTGCCTCACCATGGGCTGCACCACAGGCTAAGGGGAATTTCTGCTCTGGTGCCTGGAGCACCTCCTCCTTCCTTCTGCACTGACCTTAGTGCCTGCAGAGCTGTTGCTCTCAGATATTCTCACTTCTCTCTCTGGCTGCAGTTTCTGTTGTGCAGTTTTTCCTGTTCTAAACTATAGTATCCCAGAGGCGATACCACCACTGCTGATCACTCATCCTTGGCCAGCGGTGGGTCCGTCTTGGATCCGGCTGCATTGGCTCTGTTGGACATGGGGGAAGTTTCTGGCATCATCTCACAGAAGCCACCCCTGCAGCCTCTCCAAGCTGCTACCAAAACCTTGTCATGCAAACCCAATACACAAGATGCCTAATTTCATGATGAGGGTTAAACAGGAAGAATCACTCCTTTTTTTTTGGATGATGACTCCGGCTGGCTTTCAGTAAGTTCCAAAGTTCATCTCCAGCCAAAAGCATTAATTCATAGCTGTCCCAAAATGATTTATACTGTTAGTCTGGTTCAGAGTATTCCCATCACTCCGTGGTCTTCTTTTAGGAAATTAACAGAACATGGTAAGGGCCATGCCTTTGGGGCTGCGTAGACCTGCTCTACTGATGGAGATGCTGCCATCTGGGTTTATTCCAAGTATTCAGGGTACTCTTGTGGTTATAATGATAGGTTCAGCCTTTGAGGACTGCAGACAAGGACACCTTGAGGACTGCAATGAGCCACAAGAAGTTTCAGAGGGGCTGTGAGAAGGCTGAGGGAAGGAAGATGAGTGGGTAGGAAGGGGTGGCACTACATCATTTGAAAGTGGGGGAAATATGTACTTTGAGCATTGGTATGAGTGCTCTATTCTAGTCAACAAATAACGGGACCTCTCAGATGAGCTGTTTTCTCTCACAACTGCCTCTAGTGAACATCCTCATGGAGCACTGAAAGGCATTATTATGACAGGTTTCAACTGCCCAACTACATGGATTCATTTCAATTTCAGGGCAATTGCACTGGTATTTTCCCCTAAACTGCAAAAATTACAGCCTTTTACAGAGCAGAAAAGACACAAAACAGTAAGGGGTTGGTATGTCTGTTGTGAAGGGTGTACCTAGAGCAGATGTTCCTATAGGAGCTGTCCTGTGATTTTTCACATCAAAGTTTTAATACCTCTCTCCTGTAGAAATCCTGCTCTGAAGGACCATGCAAGGACATTTGCAGTCTCTCAACTATCCTTAACTGAACAGTGATAGTCACAACAGCAGGCAAAATGGAAAGTGGGAATAAAACTACCAGTGTACTCCACTAGCAATAGAAGGAAAGGTCTACACCCTCAAATCCAACCATATCCCATCCCCAGGAGCTCAGAAGTGATATGGGCTAAAATCACCTCCACCTCAACAAAACACAGGCCTTTTGCTGAATAAAGATATTCTCTCATGTGCTGTCTTTTTTCCTATGGCTTCTAACTGATGATTTGAGATACTAGTAGATGAATACTTTCCAGTACCTTAGGAAGTATTAAACCCAAACACAGTGCATGGCATTTAAAATCTTTCTTGGCACTGAGGCATAGGCAGGAGGAAAGTTGTATTATGGTAGTATTTCAAAGGGTCAGTTCAGTCATTTAATTTGTATTTTATCTAACCCAGAATATTCTATTGGTAGAAAGAAATACTAACAGCAGACGAAAACCACCCACATTTAAATTTTAACTTCATAAATGTCAATTGGTTTCAAAGTCAGATAAACACAAAAAATTTTTATGCAGTCTATTTGAGGTCTCCACTTATTTTACCACTAGTAACTGTTTCTTTAATTCCTCTAGACTACTTCAACTAATTTAGACGGGAGGAATAAGCCTCTTACAGGCACCCTTTGGTGCTCACTGATTCTTCTGAAAACCTTGCTTGATGTACCCATGGTTTGGTTAAAACATGTAAAATTATCATGTAATTCTTATTCTGCACAAATCTTCTGAACAAGTATCAAAAAGGTAATGAAGAACTTTGAAAGGGAAATCTTTGGGAACAGAGAAGGGTGGGATTGAAATAAGACGTGCTTTTTATCCCATATCTGTTCACAGAAACCTAAGTTGCAAGATTGCCTGGGAATCTTGGACTCTCTGCTCCCACTCGGCTATATCGGACAGATGGAGAGCTGGGAACACACAAATGGTGGCAGCTGCAGTGGAACTGAGATATAAAGACCCATTCAATCTGTGGAGGGAGAGTAGAAATCCCACAAGCTCCCAGGGGCTTCCCAGGCAAAGATGTGCCTCTCGTGGGAGTCTCAGCTGGTACACTCCGGGGTCCCCAGTCGTGGAGTTAGAATGTGACAGGAATATGTTGGAGTTGCTGACCTTAAAAAGCCCTAATGTCCAGCTTTGAGGCAGCCTGAATGGCTGCAGCAGTATGAAATATACTGTGGCAGAGCCATGATCCCTTGTTGGGAGGATGGCCTGGCAGGAACACAACTCCTGTGCTCCATTGGAAGCTTTTTGGAAAAAATGCATTTCTATAATATCTTTCAGTGTCAGTAAATTAGAATCACAGAATGACAGGTTGGAAGTGACCTCAAGGATCATCTGTTCCAACCTTTCTTGGCAAAGCATGGCCTAGACTAGATGTCCCAGCACCCTGCGTAGATGATTTTTAAATGTCCAGCATTGGGGAATCCACCACTTCCCAGGGAAGATTACTCCAATCGCTCATTGGTGTCATTGTGAAAAGTTTTCCTCTTGTGTCCAACAAGAAAATCCTCAGGAGTAAGTTCTAGCCATTACCCTCATCTTTTCCATGTGACGCCTTGTAAAAAGGGAGTCTCCGTCTTTGTTGTAGCCGGAACATAGTGACAAAGTCTCCCCTGAGCTTCCTTGCTTCAGGGTGAACAAGCCCAGCTCTCTCAGCCTTTCCTCACACGGCTTCCCAGTCCTTGGGTGATCTCTGTGGCCCTTCTCTGGACCCTCTCCAGCCTGTTCACATTTCTTCTGTGCAATGGGGACCAAAACTGAACATAGTATTCCAGGTGTGGCCTGATAAGAGCAGAGTACAGAGGGTTAATGACATATTTATCTCTGCTGGAGATGATGTGATCCTTTGACAAGTTGTTCCAATACAAAAATCCCAACTATATTAAGCAAGTTTATCTCAGCCTCTGCAATATTCCATGGTGACAGCATTTCATTTTCACATTGGTCAAGGTAATTTTTACTAAACGTCTATTCCTTGCAAAGGATAAGGCCAAGTTGGTGTCTTCTCCACAGATCTTCACCAGTGTTCCCTCAGCGTCCTGCCTTTGGCCATGGCAACTCACCATGTCTGGAAGGATGAAAGTAGAACTTTGTCTTACCAGATTGTCTAAATACCACTTCTTGCCAGCTCTTGATCATTCCTTCTTCCCCAAAAGCATGGAATAATTCATACCTTATGACCAAACACATGACATATTAGTAAAAGTCTTCTTATGTCCTGCTCAGATCATCTACCAATTCCTAGATAAGCTTTTTTCTTTCCCTTTTCTTCAGTGGAGGCTCTAACAATATGTTTTCTTTCCTCAGAAGTTTCATCACAGAGAACTCATCCTAGCTGTATTTGATGAAAGGGAATTTGTATCCCCTTTATACTTGTTGGCATAGCCCCAA